GCTACATAATAAAGAAGGGCAAGAAAAGAAAGTTTTGAAGAGAAGGAAAAAAATAAACCAACAAAACTCGATTTAGATGAAAAATTTTCAGTAGATGGAAAGTTGAGAAAGAAAATGAATTTACAAACATTATTTCTGCTTGACTAGTAAGCTGGCGATGCAATGGTTAGTGCTCTTGCCTCACAGCAAGAAGGTTACGAGTTTGAGCCCCAGCTGAACTGGGGCCTTTCTGTGCGGAGTCTGCATGTTCTCCCTGTGCCTGTATGGGTTCTCTCCGGGTACTCTGGCTTCCTCCCACAGTCCAAAGGCATGCAGCTTAGGTTGACTGGTGAATCTAAATTGTCCCTAAGAGTGAGTGTGGGTGTGTGTTGTTGTTTTTCTCTAAGTATCAGTCCTGTAATAGACTGGTGACCTGTCCAGGGTGTACCCCGCCTGTTGCCCAATGTGTCAACTGGGATTGGCTCTAGTCCCTTGCGACCCTCGTCAGGATATGCAGTATAGATAATGGATGGATAGATGGATGAATTTGTTAGTGCAGTTAAATGTATATGCATAGTGTTTATTCCCTCGTCAATCACTATAAGTATGCTGATGACAGGCGCAGAGTGTGGCATTCACAAATGTGAGTGCCAATTGCAACAGCCTTTATAAAAGGCTGCTGGCAATATGAAAATATATAAAAATATAATATTTTGTTATAAGTAAAAGTCCTGCATTCACAATTTTAGTTCAGTAAAAGTACAAAAGTATTAGCAAAATATACTTGAAATAACAAAAGTACAAGTAGTCATTATGAGGAATGGCACATTAAGGTATATTCAATTTATCACTTTGGTTTTGGAGCTAAGGAGCTAGCTGCTGGGGATTAATAAAGTATTTTTTAAACAAATTAATCTGATTCTGAAAAGTAACCAAAGTTATCAAATAAATGTAGTGATGGAAAAGGTACAGTATTTGCCTTTGAAATGTAATGAAGTTGAAGTATGATGTAGCAGAAAGTGAAAATACTCAAGTTAATACAAATATCTTAAAGCTGTACTTAAGTGCAAGTTGTGTACATGTACTGAGTTATGTTCCACCACTGGCAAATGTTAGCAACGAAAAAAGTTCATAATCAAGTTTGGATAGGTTTGAACATATGAAACCCTTGGGGGTTTACCTTATGGGTAAAAAATTATAATTAAGTGGAAACTGAGTTAGAAACTGAACACTAGCTGCAGAATTTCAATTATAACTCCTTGCTTTCCTTCCTTTCCCCTTTAGTATAAGGTTGTGCACTTGTGCACTACTGGAAATGATATATTAAGCACTCTGTGACCTCTTTAGGGCCAGAGGGAAATGCAACAACAGTGTGAAAAGTTGCTTCCTCCTACACGTCTCTAGTATAGTATAGTCTTCTCTGATATGCAGCAGCCTGTATTGACAGGGTTTCAAAATAGAAATGAATAAACTTGCAAATTGATGCACAGATTGAACATAAACATATTGTGAAGAAGGGTCATATAGGAAGATGGGCAGCAAGTGTAACTGTTATGAATAGTTTCTGCTGAAGTCCAACAGTAAGAAAATGCACTATACTGTAAAAACCTCTTTCCAAAGAAGAAGACTTTATTGAACTGATTGATGAATTCATTTAAACAATTAAACCAACTGACCGTTAGGATTGGAACTTTAGGATAATTTACTTAAAACCATCTGGGACAGCTCAATAATGGTCTGTATATTTCACTTTTGTTTTTCAATTTCATGCCCAAGGGAAAAAACTGCAGATGCCATCACAGTATCATAAAAAGTCAGAAGGGGTGCCCCGCACACACCAATGACATTATGCTTGGTGAGGTAGTGAGGGGTTATTGCACATGTCTAGTAAGGGGTTATTGCGCATACTGTATATGTGGCTAGGCCCATGGCTCAGGGCAGTGTTTGGAGGGAAAATGTACAGATGTGTGCCCACCTGTTTTTATACTCCTCCTTTCTTTGGCTCCCTGTTTTAAAAGGAAAAGCTGAGCTCCTGACTGTTACCTATGGTGCTAAAAATGGAGACAGTGTTTTAAAACACATTAAAATTCTACATCAAATGGTTTTTCACAACAGCTGAAGCCATGACTGTCAATGACTGCTGGGCGATGCATGCAGAAAAAAGAGAAACCCAAGTGACAAACTCTTTTGGAGATGAGCAAGAGTGCATTGTAAAGCAAGCCAGTTGAGATAGACTTTGAGATTCTGAATCACTACAGAGGCAGAGAATTACATTAGCTTCATTAAAATTTATTTGACTGAGACTGTGATCACCTCTTTAAAGTTGATACAAATGGCTCATTGGCCAACAGCTCTTGACATTTCGCTGCCTG